CTGACAGCTCTCCGGCAGGCCTCTGTGTGACTATCCCTGTGTCCCAGCCGCCTGTACCTCCCACCGTCGCGCCACAGCCCCCCGCCGGCTCGACCGCCCACCGGTCTTGCCCTCTTGCGGTACCCGTGTGTCCGCAAGCCGGCCTAAGGAGCCCCGAGGCTATGTGGCGTCTCTCACACTCGCGCTGAGTAGTGAGTAAGACATTTGTGGGATCCGGAGTGACTGAGGGCGGCGCATTACGCAAGGCGAGCGCCGTCGCTGGTGTTGGAGTGCCGTAGCACCCTACGGGAGTGCGGATCGGCCGGTACGCGCAACGAGTGGACGCGGTGAGGACGTTGCGTCGTACGGAACTGGTGGAGACCTCTGCGGTGAGGTGCGCGATGACTATGAGCTTTCCGGGATCGCCCATGGAAGGGGCTGCCGTCATGGCGGCGTTGGCTGGCGCTGTCGGGCGGGGTGTGAGGTTCCTGGGCGCTGGCATCCAGTGGATTGGGGAACTCTTGGTGACCCTACTCGGGTGGCTGGCCTGGATGCTGAATATTGATGAGACAAAGACGAATTCCATTATAGGAGCGGTCAGGATGGTTTACAATGGCCTGGCCCTCCTCATTTTGTTCAACATGACTGCCGCCATTTTCTGCGCAATGGGGCAACTTCTGCAGTGACTGGATTAGGCGCTTCCTACTTAGTTGTTCCCTGGCCAGAGCAAAGCACCCCTGTGCCTTCCTTAATTGACAACAAACTCCAATACGATCGTTGTTGTGGGTCTCGTGAGGCTGTATCAGGGGATCAAAAATTGCGTCATTCCAGACATTCCCAAATTAGCTTGCGATTCTTTTCGTGTTAATGTCATATGCATACAATGCTTGCAGTGCCGAATGGCGCCATCGCACTGTTATCGATAGAAGGCGAAAGAGAGACCATGAGGAGGGCTGGTTGCCATTTGTTCGGCATGTGAGTCTGCCTCGCCAGAAGACAGATGTGATGTATTAAATCATATGACATCCAGCCATATGGGACATCACACGCAACGTTTGGGCAATATGCCATCTGCGAGGCACTGGAGATCATTTGCTGCGCTGCAGCCGACACAGTGCCTCAAGAAATGGAGTGCTCTCAGAATTCCGTATCCAGAGAACAAACCACTATTTTTATCGATAAATTTCCGGCTGACAAGCAGGTGAACTGTGCTTGGTAACAATAACTGGAACCTTTAAAAGTCTTAAATGGACGCAACCTGGGCGAATAAGCGTTAAATGCAAATTTATTTCCGCTCGTGAACACAATCCTGTGGGTGCCTCTTGATGAATTGAGAGGAGAGCAGGCGGCATTCTCTCGAAAACATCCCCCTTATGTTGGTCTCACTAATACCAAAGAGTCTCCCTTCTGTACCTAGACTTCGAGTTGCCTGCATATTATGATTTCTAGTCACGCCGTGGTGCAAAGCCCAGAAAATCTTTAATTGTACCTACGGTCAGTCAGACAACCCCGCCATATATATCCCCAACACAGTCATGGTTTCTCTATGCCCTGTGCCCGCAAAACACATTTCACTATAAAATGCTTCAAATTGAACACCCCAACCGCAGCAGCCAACCTCCTCTGACGTCCCTCGACGCACGCAAACTTGGCGTGTGAAACGTCGGGGGCCTGGACATCTTGCGATGTGTGTTCCAGTGATACATAATCTTAGGTTCCTGCCGATGCGCCGACGGCACTAGCAAACACACTGCCTGTCGATGTCGGCGGAAAGCTGGACGCCGGGAACATTGGCCTTTTCTTCCCTCAGTCCCTGCTGATTGTAACCCCATTTATACACTGTCCGGGCAGAAGCTTCCGCTCCAACACCATGAGCTTAGCTGCCGGGGTCGATGCCTCCTTAATGGCACTAAAAGGAGTGTAATGCCTTGAGGGTATGGTGTCATTGCAGCGAGAACAACAGAAGCTGCTCCTACAACCCCCCCTACAGCAAGGGGTAACAGAGATTTTCATTCGGCTAACATGGGCCACAAAACTCATGAAGTTGGCATTCAGCGAGCGTGCAATTCTTTCCCACATGTCTCCACCCAGGAGCTTCCGCACTTCGGCCCACTGCGATCCCGTGAAGTGCTGCACAGAATCTTCCCCTTGCCTGCCCGCGAGGTATTCAGAAAGGACGCTCTTCAGGTCTACTGAGTCCACCTTCTGGGCGACCCAGAGCCAGTCAGCAACCACCTGGGGCGTTCCCTTCGCCAGGATCTTTTCTACAGTGCCTTTGATGCCATCGACGCTGACGATTGCATTCAAGCCCCTGGTAGCCAGCTGCTCGAGCCCAAACCTGTCCGCCATGGCAGAGAGTCGCCGCAGCCGGTCAAGGTCACGAAAGTCGGGAAACGTGTCTGTCACGTACAGATGCTCAAGCAGGAGGCACACGTCGTCCTTCTTTATCCCCGCAAAACAGGCCTCGATCCTCGTCTTCTGCAAATCCGAGCACGACCCCGGCGCAGGCGCAACGTGCCCCGTCTTCTCGGCGACCTTGCCTTCGCCTCTCTGTCCGCCAGAGTCGCCCATGATGCCGTCGTCGCCGAGCAGGGCGTGACTAAACACCGGAGACATGGCCAAGACGTCCCTGTGCACGGGCAGGATCTCTCCCTCCACCACCAAGTCAACATCCGCTCTCGCGGCGTATTCGTCCGTCCACAGGGCCATGTAGCGGTGACCGCCCTTCTGATCCCCCATGCTTGCTGCCAAACCGCACCAAATGGGGCGGCTGGTCGCCGCGATGGACACACCCAAAACGACTGCGAACACCCACACTAATCCCCCTTTCATGAACGCCAAATCCGTGCCGCCCACGGATGGAAGGCAGGCTGTCCCATCGCGTCGCGAGGGTGTGCGCGCCAAGGGTCTGCGTGGCGCTGCGCGTAGCGTCGGGACTCATGCGATGCCATTTGGGCAAAACACCAGTAGAAATAAGCCTTTTTGCCATACCAATGGTTACGCCATCTGACACAAATTGACGCCATCACAGCCGCTTTTATGCCATCGCAATCACAGTGACGGCATCGCTTTGTGTCAAAATGGCATCGCAATTGGCATCGCAAACATGCCGTTTTCTGCCAGTGAAAATGGTGCCGTCTCATAGATTGCGATGGAATAAAAGTGGTTGTGATGGCATCAATGTGCATCAAATGGCGTCGCAGTTGGCATCAAAAACATATCCTTTTCTGCTGGTGACCTGCCTTCTGGTCCACTGGGCATTGCAGGGCGTGGCTCGCATGGCTGGGCAAGTGTCGCCACAGGTGATTTATCTTTTCCACATGCTTCTGTGGGGTCCTTCAAGAATTGGCAATTGCGCCTGCAGTGCAGGCTGCTGCTGCAATCCATGGTTTTGTTCATCATTCATTGTCAATTCCCGATTTCGCCATTCACGTATGTTGAATACAATACTCATTACCGTACTCCAAACCTCACGACATGAAGCGATGAAAACGGGAAGCCATTGCTTGTGCAGTCGTTGTCGGAATACAAAGCTGTCTTGCGGGACGCCCCTTCAACCAAAAGTGTGGCGTCTCCCTTGCCACGTAGTGTTCGCTTCACTGCCAGTGGGCGACACGCATTTATAGTTGCGAAGACTCCATTGCTTGTGCAACGCTTCTGTTGATGTAAATCTTCATCATACTTTCGTTGTGAATCAGCGAGTGATCGAAGGATTTTCGATTTGGGGACAACAGTGAAGCTGGCGATGTGGCAGGCACTCACTGAATCCCAGACTCTGTGTGGCGGCTGCCCTAGGAGGGGGGGCTCTCCCTGAGGGAGACGTCTTGATATCTCAATGGTAACAATCAACGGACATGTTCGGAGAGAACCAGAACCTAAACTTCACTCGCCAGCATTAAAAGGGCACAGCAGCAGCGGGAGCTTTGCACATTCAAATAACGACTGCACCAAGGCGCCCCATATTTTTTCGAGTACCCAGTGAATAGTGCCCACCCTGGTCCCCTCTCAAGAAGGCGGAAAGACTAAGGTTGGGGAATATCAATGAGAGTGTTGCGAATCTGGCGATCTCCACAACAGTGGCCCCATCCCCTTATCCAATGCTCCCTTGCGATCGCACCACTGTACCGCTGCCATGAAACGCTCGACCTTGCCGAGCACAGGTCCATCATGCGAATGCCCGTCACATGGCGCCTTCGCCGTGGCACTCACTTGTTACGTGCCTCCGACACAGACTCCCATGACTCCGACACGGAAGTCTGCATAACAAGACCAGGACATCCGTGAGATGAGGGACTCCCGCCCCGCAAACATCGGGGCAGTCACGCCTTCACCGCTGCCCGCCAAAATCGCCCCCAATACGTGAAGAAAACGCACGTTGGGAGGCCGCTATCCCACCTTGATTTCCCGTACATTGGCCCTCACGTACCGCCACGGTACATTGTGCCGTGTCTCCGACATGGAACTCCGGATGGCAAAACCAGCACAGCCATGAAACGACGGACCAGCCACACGTCTCAACAGTTGGGACGGTCACACCGACACTGCTGCCCGCGAACATCGCTCATGGCGATTGAAGAAAACGCACACTGGGAAGTCGCCAGGCCTCCTCGGCTTCCCGTGCACTGCATCTCCTGTCCCCTCACCGCCACCCTGGTGCCAACGTGCCGTGCACGTTGGCAAGTGACAGCCGGACGTTTCCATTACCCGGTAGGTAATTGGCATTGGCCAATGCGCAGCAGGTAATGGGCAGTACCCATTTCCCTCCCCGCGCCCGTCCCATCCATCAACCCTTCTTCCCAATCTGATGCCCGTGCGTATTCCTCTGGTAACGCAAGAACGTCCTCTTCCGTCCACATTTCCCACCGCCCCAACGTTGTGCCGCGCCTCACATCACCCGGCCCGCCAAGAGGTGACCTGCCCCCAGTCAGGTTTTCAGCCCCTGCCGACAATTCAAATCGGCCGACGCTGACCTCCGCAGGCCACGGGCCGTCTCCTCAAGCCCCGCCAGGCCTCCTGCCAACATGGAGCCCCAGAAGGCGGTGGGGGGCTACTTCCGAGACCTGGGCACCCTGGGCGACGGTCAAGGGCGGGACTGCGGCTGGGAGGCGCTGCAGCGCGGCGCGGCGCAGAGGGAGGAGAGGGGAGCGGGGGACGCTGGCGCCGGAGGGGCCCCGGGAGGGCAGCAGGGGCCGCCGGGACCGGTGGCGGCGTCCGGGGCGCTGCCGCAGGTACGGGGAAGGGGGTGATTTTCAAAACCCGAATTCGGATCGACATGGGCGATTCGGATCGACATGAAGAGGGTCCAGAATTGAGAGGGCGGATTTGGCGGTTCGATGGTGGATGGGGGCGGTTTGGAGGATGTGGTGCAGAAGGGGAGGCGTGAGGGGGCAGGGCGTGGGTTGGCGTGGCGTCGGACTTGGGAACTTGGGCGGGCGGATGTGTGCCCCATGTGCGCGGGGGGACGATCGCGATTGAGCGGCCCATGCGCAAAGGGGAGGAGGGAAGTATTGCCATGACGCGAGTGACGCGTGTAACGCAAGGCGGGCGAGGACCGGGCGCGGACGGGGCGGGGAGGGTTTGGGGGAGCGGGTACCCGTGCGGGGCGGCCTGGAGCGAGGCGGGCGCGATCGAAGGGGGCTTGGAAGGAGGGGGCAAAGGGGGTTGGACGTGCGGGGGTGCGAGCGCCTTGCGTCTTGCGCCGTTTTCCTCGCTCGCTCGAACCTTGTTTGATCTCCGGCGTTTGTGCAGCGAGGCTCGAAGCACCGCATTCGAGCAGGCGTCTGCCGAAGTGTTGGAGCAACCGATTGGGAGAAAGCGCGAAAGCGCTCCGCGAAATCACTGCGTCGAGCTGTCGATGCGTTTTCGCGGACTGCGGCGTTCGCGCGCGGGCGCTGGCCGCTTGTGCCGGCCCTTGCCTTCCCGGGGCTGCAGGACGTTCATCGCATCCCAAGGGGCCATCCTTTTCGAATACGCAGGCCGATTGACTAGTGCAGTACCGTCCCCCGTGTGGGTTGGAATGGGAGTTGGGGCCGAAGGGGTTGGGGATCCAAAGGGGTTTGGGACGCGGAGGAGGGGGGACGCCAAGACTGCGCGTTTCGTCATGGCCACGTTTCTCGTTGTGTGGCTTCGCGTTAACCTCAACGCTCGTGCGCTGATGCGCTCGGCCTCTGCCACTAATGTCATGTCATACGTGGGCGGGAATAACCTAAGCCTTTCCTTTCAATCTGGTGGGTTGCGAGAGATCTACGCGAACGTCCGAGGTGCGCCATGCAACCAGAGTCTGGCGTTCCCGGGCAAAGCGTGGAAGGGCTTGAAATCCGTAAGGTCGTGGATGCACGGCGATCCCGATATCGGGCTTGGGCCTTCTGAGCGCGAATGCAACCTTCGAGAGATACCTATTCTCGGACGTTGCACCCATGCAGCGCAGCAAAAACTTGTAAAAAAAGCGCGGCGGAAACCCTGAAGGTGTTGCTGGGTGGTCCTTTCAGCTGCTCCCAATAACGAGTTGATATCATGGCCAATGGGCCCATTTTGGCGCAGTCTTCAGGATCCCTCTAAAAACGCCATTTCGCGTCGGTTAGTAATTAGTTCTTACCTACCAATAGAATTTGAACACAAGTTCAACGAAGAGCTTATGCAAAGCATAATCTCGGAATTGTGCCCAAAGACACATTTCAGTGAGAAGGCGCTGTAAATACAACGATCAGTCATTCAACAATAACGCCTCCAAGTTATGCAAATTGCACAGCAACCATCCGACAAGGGGCAGAATTCCGATGTCCCTGAACTGCGTTGATTTCATTGGAAACCGTGTCGCACGACCCATTTTGCTCCCCGATTTCCTGCGTTTGCTTCCAACCTTGTGCTCAAGTTTTCACCCTTGTGCACGTGCCTCTGCTGTGTCCACCACCGCCAAACAGGCAAAGTGAGTGCGCTCCTGAACTTTGTCGACGAAAGCAGCCAGATCGAATTCTGCCAAAAGGCAATGCTAAAGGTGTCAGACCACCGTATCCGAACCACCACCACGGTCGCCAGCTGAGCGACACCATTAACAATACAAGCGCTTCTAAATTCCCCATTAATTGATGGCGGGAATACCAATCAGAAACGCCCAAAAATATCTGGAAGGGTTTAAAGTGCTTGAGGAAGAATCTAGAAAGCCTGAAGCTTGAAGAACCTAGAATGCTTGAAGAAATTCCTAGAAGCGCTTGAAAAATGCTTGATTAACTTGCTTTGAAGAACGCTTGAAGTGATAACTCGGATCTGACCCGGCGCCTGCCACCACGGGTTTCCGCAGAACGGCGACATGGTCGCCATGATGGGCCACCCGCGTGGGGGTCTGCCCCAGCCGCCCCACATCGAGGCCCGCTCGCCTGCGCCCGGCCACGTGGACATCCCCGATGTGGTGGCTCACCCGGCCTTCGAGCGCCTGGTGAATGGCATCTACACGGGGCGGCTGGTGGGAGAGGACACGGCCAGGATGGAGGTCATCATGGAGAGGCAGGGCGCCACCCTGAGGGAGATTCGCAACCGCAGGAGGCAGCATCGGCACGATCACAACCCGGAGCTGGGAGACATGCTGGTGGGTGGGTGTGAAACTCCCTTGGGGAATGTTGGTGCAGGGATGTGATTTGTGGTGCTTTGTGTGTAAGAGTTTGTGTGGGTCTTTGTTGTGATGTGACAGACCCTGGGGAGAAGGTCATTTCGGATTTGTTTGACTCGATTGGCAGTGACCGCTGGTAGTGTGAGGCTTGGCTGGTGTGTGGAGAAATGGAACCAATTTGATGCCATGCAAGATTTATGTCTCATGGGAACATGCTCGAGATTTCACCCACATGTTGGTACTGAACTCACTGATGTCAAAGCAGGGAGCTCCAGATACTCACTTAAAAAATAATGAAATTGATTAAGTGGGGAGAAAATGGAAAATTGTTGATATTTTTTGAAACCCTAACGGCGCAATCGTAATTTAGCTTGGGATTGAGGAGATGCTACTAAGGAATGCGACTAACCCCATTCATTTTTCAAAAACAGCAACACAATCATACTGCTATCATTACTAGTACTGTCACCAAGGTTTATTGATATCAACAGCAGTTTTAATGGAGGCGATTTTGTTGTTGGGCAGTTTTCCGTGCAAATGAAATCTGGGCAGTATTCAGCACAAGTAAGTAGTGAATTTGTTTTTTCCTTGAAATTGTACCTATAGTCCCCGAGAATGTGGTTGTCAGGTACTTGGCCAAAACGCGATATGCAACTGCATGGCATCATCACATCTGTTGAATACTTAGCGGATCTGTTATGCAAGCGTTATGAGCCACAACGAATTGGCATTCTTCCAATGCTGCATCAGTTGCAAGCTGCTCCTACTGAATGGCATGTCGAAATGCTGCGTGGCTCTGCCACTTTGGGGTGCACGGAATCACTAAGAGCTCCAGCTCATTAAACACCAATCAGTTATCCAAATAATCGTTGCCGGTAACCAACGAGCATGGGATTTGATAGCGTTGCGATCTGCTTTGGGCATCTCGTTTTACTTTGGCTGTTTTTGCTCCTTCCAGATCCATTGTTGCGGATTGGTGGAGGCGCTGAACCAGGAGCTGATGCTGATAGCCAAGGACGGCAGCCATGCGTGCAACATGTTTGAGAGCCAGATCCGTGGCATACTGGCAAGCGATGAAGGTGAGATGCGCCACAATTTGGCATGAAAAGTGTGTGTAGTGACTGACTATCTGATGGAATTGCAGTTAGAGGGGTGAATTGCCTCTTCCTTGTACCTGTAAGGGTGAGTAATCTCACCAGATTTACGTGGATCAATCCCTGGTTCAGTCACCCTGTTTACGATCCGCACTTCAACAATGGCGCCCATGTGCAGTGGAGCTGTTGCATGACGAATTGACTCTGGCTCATGTAATTTGGGTAGCTTTGGAAGGAAAGGGAAGATTTCTGGGTTGCCACAAGATAGCAATCAACTTTGGCATTTTTGCCTTGAAGAGTTGTCTGAATTACCGCCATCAAAAGGGGGTGCTTCACACAGTGATTGATGCTGCCTTCTTTGGAGTGATTGAATTGCGCCGATTTCGCCAATGCATTTAATTCAGCTGGATTGCGGTCGCGCATGCCTCTGCAGGTTTGGCATCCTGCTCGGTAGCTAATCCAGGTGACGAGCAGCAACTGCGGAGCACACTGAAGAGAAAGTAAGCAAAGTGAATCTGTGAATCTCAGAAGACCAATTTCAGTGGTTTTGCGTATTTTCTGCGATTTGGCGGCTGTGCTGCCACTTTGTGCTTTCTTCAATGCAGTTGTGTGGCCTCCTTGTATCCGTCAAGGTTTCTGCGTGTTACCACCAACCTCTGAGGATTTTGCATACTGGACAAGGGCACATAGCGCTGCTGGTTGGATGCTTTGAATTCTCGGATTGTCATGCTGACAAATGTTGATGGTCTGTTTTCACAGAACACTGTATTAGCATGTTTACACCACCGGAAACTGAAAATGCTGTGCACTCCTTGATGCCACATGCTTAGTTTTGAGCGGTAGCTGTTCACTTTAGTTCAGTGATGGCATCAGATGTGCACTGCAATGCCTTTGTCACCACTGCCAACTAAGCAACAGACAGAACAAATTGGCCTAATCGTAATGCACCCGTGGACATTTTGAATGGGCGTATGCCTTTAACAATGCAAACAACTTGGGACCGTCTTCAGAGACTTGTTTTCGTTGTTTTGTAGGTATGGGACCCAAATTCGGCAGCTCCGCGACGAGTTCCAAAGGAAGAAGAAGAAGGGGAAGCTTCCAACTGTTGCCACTGATAGGCTGAGGGCTTGGTGGACGGAGCACATGTCATGGCCATACCCGTCGGTGAGAACATAGAGCACCTTTTTAGGAAAACAGCACACAACACAATACTTGATATTGAGCATTGAATCACATGTTCATCCCAAAATATAGCAACCACTTGTCTGCAAGGATGATTAGAACCCATAACAGCTGCACCGACATGCGTAATCGTTCTTGACAAAATGCCCTCACAGTTCAATGTGCATGTCACCTTGCCAAGCTAAAGGGCGGTATTGCATCCTGCTTTGGCATCTGCAGTCAACGTGCCTGGACTGAATTTAATGCAGTTGAGGGCTATGTGGTGTAGCTCAAGCTCAACGCATGTTGTGATGCAGGAGGACGACAAAGCAGAGCTGGCCAAGGATTCAGGCTTGAACACCACTCAAATCAACAATTGGTTCATCAACCAGAGGAAGCGGCACTGGAACAGGGTATCACAGGTGGGTGAGCATGGCGACATTGCTTCACAGAGGCTGAGATTGCCTTTTTGTGGCATTGACACCAAAGGGAAAATATTCGCTCCCAGAAATCTGAAGAAACTGGGCACTGATACTTTAAACATTAAAGCCCAGTTGATGGCTAGAAGCTAAACCAGCTTTTGTAATGCGTTTCACCATGATGAGATGGCTATGTGGCCATTTTCGTGCACCTACGTATGTGCAGCCAGGATCTACATAAAATGTAGCATCTCACGATGCAAGGATTCTAGGACTTAGAGCTCATGTAATACTTAAGTATTTAATTCAGGAAGCCCAGCTGCTGTGTTATGGGGGCAACCCTGCACCTGAGGGGATGCTCTAGACATTTTTCGTAATTGATACCAAATATCACGGTGAACACATCGCAACTTGGTTTCGTTTTGATGGGAGATATTCTGTTAAATCCCTTTTTTCCGGCATAGAACATTTCACATACCACTGTTTTAAATGCGTGCTGTGGGCAAGGGACAGGGCTGTGCCTTTTGGGGATACAAAGGTCGATCCAGTCAGGACTGAAATTACATGTACGGGCGCTGTCAGCGATTGAGAGGAGAATTTGCGTGTCTTCCAGTAAGGACAAAATACTTTGCTGTCCAGAGGGAGAAGAGGCCATCTGCAGAAATGCCCATGCAGTACCTCTCTGCCATGTCGCCCATCGCGGGGCACCTCGATCGCGATATGGGTCCCGAGCAGAAGATTCATGTCGATCAAGACCAGGGGCCACAGCTGGAGCAGGAGGGAAAGGCTGGCGCCGTTGATTGGCGAGCTCATGGAGGGCTGTAGAAACGTCGCTTGGGCCTTGGTGCCAGAATCGCTCTGGCAAAATTGCTGCACAGGCGCTCTTCTGGGGATGCTGATTGTTGTGGAATGGAAGCGCCCTTTAGAGTGGAAGAACTGAAAAGGCGGAGCAGAATTCTAAAGGTGCTGTGAACAAGGAAGCAAGCTCTGGGTTGTGTTATTGTGATGAGAAGAATTCACTCTTGTCGATATGGACTAGTGGAGGTACCTCCATTGTATACCGTTACGTTTTGGGTTTGGTGCTCCTGGCCGAGAGTGTTTATGTTTCTGCAATCGGCGATTGTTGAATAAGCGATATTCTGAAATTTCAGAAGTTGCAGAACATACGGAAATGAGCAGGGATGCACATCAACCCAAGGCGGGGACTGCTGGATCCGCACCGAAATAATGCACGAAGATGTGCATTGGAAACTTGGAATGAGATTGGTCATGCAGAATCGATGACTCTGGAAACAGCATGATGGGGAGACGAGCTGGTGGTAGCTACTGAAGGACCAAGGGTGGTTTGGAAATGAGGGGCACTTGGGGTGGTGGCACGTGTGGGGATCAATTTTGCCACAGCGTGTGGATAGTCAGGTGAAAATCCCGCCGTGTAGTGTATGCATTGGCAGCGCTGCAGGGCGGCGTCAGGAGAGCCCTGAAGCAGTTGTGGTATGGGCTGGGAGACGGGTATGGACAGTGAATGCCCTATCTATTACTGCTTAGATCAGCTATTGTAAGTTCATAGTTGAGGACACTCATGTTCGCTTGACGGCTATGTGTTATGCTATCTCAGAAAGCCAGGTTGGTGCCCTCCAGCTCGGAGGTTACTCGCCCAGTTCACCTCCTGGCTCGTTCTTGATGAATATAGAACGGATGCACAGTATTACTGTACTTTAATAAGTATATTACCATGAGATTACCATTCATGGCTATGTCAAAGAAACCATCAATTTGCGTTGAATTGAGAGCGAGTGAGTTTTAACAGACTGGGTGAAAGGTTCAGCGCATACAGTGCTCACATGGCGCAACGTCTCATTCAGAGAGATTGGATATGAGATATTTTGCATATACAGGGAGGCAACGTATTCCTTCCGTAAACGGTAAGACCTGAAGGTTGGGTGGGCCCACACCCCAAGCGTGGGTGTGTTCCTCCGTTGCAAAGGACAAGAACCACACAATGGGTATTGCACCATGTGAATAAACCTTCAGACTGTATGGCGTCACCAAGACTTCTTGGCGTGCTCTTTGTAGGCACAATCGCAGCTGCTTTTGCGCAATTCGTTTGCCCGATCCGCACAGACGCCTCCAAGTACCTGCCAATAGTAGTATCTGTAGATGCTAGGAGTTTCTGCCAATTGACAAAATGGCATCAATAGACTGCACGCCAGCAGGGTATCCATCGGTTTCAGCACACATTCAATTGCTTCTCCTGATTGCAATGATTCGATCAAGAATTCAGTTCTTCAGCAATTTGCCGCGTGCCGAGGCATGAAGCCAATTGTCAGCTCGCCGTTCCGCCCAAGGAAGCTGCAACTATAAAACAGGCACGGACAACCCAGGCTGCTTCAGGAGGACTTGCCGTATGGAATCCACAGACGTGTTTAACTGGAAGCAGATCCTAATCTTCGGAAGCAGACTCTGGGTGACATTTCCTCCGAATTCGGATGAAACGTCAATGAACATGTTATCTTCGAGGGCCACGCGCTCATTGATTGACCCCATTCAAACGGCGCACCAAGACGGCGGGAAATATTCCCGGAGGTGTGCCAACCGACAGCAACTAACTTTTCAAGAATTGGAACTTAAATTCCCTAAACCATAAAAGATTCCTAAAATTTCTAAATAGATTGCAAGAATCCGTAAGCCTTCGCCAATGTGAGGATACCAATTGGCACACGGTCCGCCCAGCAGCCAACGCCTGGCAGTCCGCAGCGAAAGGTGCCCGTGCGGGACTGCCCCGCACCCGCCATGGACAACCGCATGGCTTTGAAGGAAGTGCTGCCCAAATCGGGCCTGGTCATGAGCGAGAAGTCCGAGCGCCTGTCCCACGTGCTGTGCAAACCCAAAATCCTGCCTCTGAAGTCAATCACGCTGGAGAAGCTGGAGGCCATGGAGAGGGAGGCGGCGGAGGCGGCGGAGCGCGAGCAGGGTGGCAAGGCATTCGCGGGGCGCTGGGGAGGGCCCCCTGGGGCCCGCCCACCTACCTCAGATCCAGGGGTCAGGGAGTCGTGAATGGAAAGAATTGAACTGAAGAAACATAATCCATGATACGGATAGTAGGCGAGTTGCGCAATGGACGTGCCCTCCTCTGCAGAATTGCTGGATAGCTGGGATAGCTTTAGTGACACCCTGAAGAGACGGCGGCTAAATCCTTGCCCTGATCTGTAGCATGCCTTGATTGAATCCCTCGTGGATATATTTTTAAAGATCTTTAGATTTTGGAGAAATTGATGGCTGCTCAGACGCTTCATTCGGGCCCGGCTGGCTGCCTGGGCGAGAAATTACTAGATTCCATTTTGTGGTCAGGTGACACAGTTTTCATCGGAAGAGAAACATAGGCTGTATTGCAGATATCGCCTCGTGCACAGTTTTCAATCAATAAAAAAGGAATCCTTTCTTATTTGACATGCGAGTGTGTGTGGGAGACGGGCCGGATATGCAGCCTTGAACATGAGGCTCTTGTATCAAGAGAATGGTACAGCCAGAGGCTTTCATGGTGTTGCTTATTATTTGAAGCATCCAGGTCCTACGATTTACGCGTATGTGCAAAAATGCGGCTCTAATGCTTACCGCCTGAGACGACGCAGAAGTTCGCGGTCTGTACAAAGCGCTAGGTGGAGGGCACAGGAGACCCACGGCACTGGTAGCAAAAAGCGCTGGAATGCATGGAGGCCGATCGTTTGTTCGAAATATGTCCGCCCTTGGAAGGGCAGGTGGGCGGAGTACTGGGTATGCTCAAGGAGGCGGCAAGATGGCGAATTGCCAATGATAGCCTTCAACATTGGTCAATTGATGCAACGCACAAATGCGCACATGAGCTCATCAGGATGATCTTCCGACTATTTCCGTATGATGCGAGAAAAGGGCACCGAAAATTGCAACAAATGTCAACTCCTGCTGCATGATATGGGGACCCGGCGGTGCCTCAGCGCCTGAAAAATGATGCTCGGCGTTTGCGCTGACGAATGGGACCTTCTTGGAACCTGTTCTTGGAACCAAGCGCCTACAGACCCGCACACCTCTTGAGACAATGCCAAATGATAATCGACAGCCTGGTCATGGCGATAGTACAGTTTGATGTAGATTTCAAGGCCGGTCCATCTGATGTGTGGCGTCTCTTTAAAATATGATGGCTACTGGACCGCCACTTCCCAAGCTGAATTTCGAGCGCGCCATTTCATCGAATTTCGTCAGTGCGTAAAATACGTTGTGACTAAATGAATCAAATGTGTTTGAATATGGCAACACTATCAGAAATATAACATATATAGGCGAGGAGGTGGCCATCAGCTCCCTTTTCGACCGGGAAAACGTGGTCTTTGATGTGCTTCATGCAAACCGAAGGCGTTGGCGCAACCCACCCTCTGTGTTGCTGTGCATCAAATGCAAAATTTTCACAAATTTCGATATCGCCAAATCGCCTTAACCCATTGTTTGCAATTGACAAAGACGGGAACTCTTAAAATTCTTAAAAAAATGTCATCAATTCACCTCCTAATATCGCGCAGCACGTCAGAATGAAAACAAGTCTCCTAAACGTAACCATAAATTGACGCTTTCATTTTAGGAGCTCATTCTGGCACATTTATACAGCACCCCCAGTCCAGTGCCCAGCGAGCGGGCCTCAAGAGCGGGAAAGTCTCCTCCCGGCACATGCTTCGCCTCGACGAAAATACGCCGCTCTGTCGAAAGCCTGGTGGTGACCCAACTCGGGGGCTTCTGGGATGGCATCTCGAGCCAGAGCCGATCCCTTGACCGGGTCCCTCACGGGTCAGGCATGGTTGGCGGGGGGTGGTGGCGCCAAGGGACGGTCCAATGTGGTCCGGTACGAGGTGTTGCTGAAGGTGCGTGCGCATCACGGGATGCTGGCACCATGTGTCGCTGCTTGGTTGCGCAAGCAAGCGGCGTTCCGCGTGCGCAGTCCTGCAGCAGTCTGTGCCCACGAGTAGCGAGCGGCATGCTCGCCTTCTACGAGGCTGCAGCTTCCCGCCGGTCTATTTGGTGATGCGAAGGGAGCAAAAGCAGCCCAGGAAAGCGGGCCGGAAATAGGACCAGCCATTTACACAGGCCAATATTTCGAAAGTCTTGGTTATGTTATCGACAATATTCAGCATCAGCAAGCTTTGGTTAGATTTATGTACTTTAGATATTGCTGGAAAGGTTAATTCTGGTGAATTATTATTATTTTGTTGTTATTTGTGTCACGTAACCTTACAATTGAGTCGATTTTGTAACGTGGAACATAATTTTGTTCTGTAAGCTCATTTGAATTCGATCCTCGTTTAGGAATTGCATTTGCTTATCTCACAATGCTAAAATTTTGCGGCTCTGTTTTACGTGTGCAATGATGAATAACGAATAGTGGTCGAATCCACTTTATTGTATTGGTAGGGTTGATGATTTAATGAAGCACTGCACAATATGCAATTCCGCCCTTACATTTCGTGTTCACTAATTCCCGAAGTTGATAATTTAGGAACATAATTCGTACTCGAGAAAATTTGGTAAATGGTCTCCCAAGTCGGCGCGAATCTATACACGAAGCCAACCTGGCTTGGAAAGCTGACCAATCCCACAGATTTAACGACCGAAAAGGAAATAAAACGTTGTTCATATCAACGCATGATCGACAAAGGAGACACGCCCCGCAGCCGCACACGCAACACCCCCGTATTACCATCTTTCCATTCAGGTTGCGGATTTCAGAAGTCAATGATCAAGTAGCCAATGCCCCAGAATTAAACCACTTCTTCATTCGACTTCAAAAAGAAACGATTCCCATT